CCCACCGATGATCATGTCAATGACGTGTTGAGGTTCCTCCTACTCGGTCTGTTTATTAGAATCTCTATTCCTGAAATGATTTTTGGCTCGATCGCTCAGAAACTCTCGGAGATGTCTGTTGTTAAATAATCGGGCTACCTCCTCCCATAATTGTCGGCAATCCTCTATTCTGTGGCCGTGTGTGCCGTGATACTTGCCTATTAAGTTGGGATCCCTTTGGGCTGGATCGGATTGTAGAGGTCGATATCACTTGGTATCTCTTATGCGTCCGATGGCGGATACAATAGCAGCCACATCGACGTTGAAGTTGTACTCCGAAAACCTCGGCGCTTCCTTAGACCCGATGGGCTTGTCAAAACCATTTTTACTCATGAGTCCCCGGTTATTTTGACTCCGATCGCTTCTTCTTTCATTTCTCACAGGGTTTCGTCCGGACTCATTACCTCTACAATCACCGTTATACGGAATATATCGATCCCTAGTTGACCTTGGTTCACGATCAATGTCTCTTTTGGATCTGTCACTAGCTCGGACAGGATAAACAGACACGGAAGGGGCTCCAAGCTGATCATCTTCGACTCTAATTTTTGACTAATATCGGTTATGCACATCGGCCTATGTTACAACTGGATATTCTACCAGATTTTGCTTTAACTGCTTCGAAGCCAACGAGCTTCGAGTATTGAGTCATTGGGTGAAGGCCTGAACGGCCCAATCATCTGTCACCGGTGGCAGGTTCATCCGTTCCATTTGAAATCTTGACGCGAACTCCCTGAGCATCTCGTTATCTCTTTGCTTTACCTTAAAAAGATCTGGTTTCCTGGTCTCGGCCTTGATAGCTCCGGCGTGATGATCTCGCCCAAGTCACACCTAAAATTGGGGTTGTGAAGCGATCGATTGCAATAATAATACCCAACTAGGAGTCGGGATCGAATCCACATGGAGCGTAGATGGGATTAGTGGTATGTATTTGGTCTAAGCACGTGAATTGTCTAAGTTGCACTTCCACAAACTTTGTTTTGATTTTACTTCTAAAATTATACTAAGGATTGCAATTGAAAAATATGAGACTAGAGAAGAATGTTTTTGTTGTTGTTTTTCAAATATGTAAAAGGTCTAGGGTTGTGACTTCCACCTAAGTGTTTGTCTAACGGGTTGTGGGCTTTAGAGCGAGTTTCGTTGGTCGGGGTGTATTATAGCAATCAACACTCAAATACCCACTCAATACCTCTCGGTAAGAGAGTGGTTTTGCCCAATTTGGCTTTCTCAAGTCCAAATGGGTATTGAACTAAACAGTTGACAAATTGCTCAAGTCGGGTTTTACTATCTCTAGGTTCAACCCTTTAATTTGGACTATTAATCTCTTGATTTCATCCTAAACTCTTGTTAGCCAAGTTTTTCTAGACTAAGTCTCTCTTTCTCAAGTAGAGACCAAGTCAAATAGGTTTGAACCAATGTTTGCAACCATTAATTCTACAATTATAGCAAGAACTAGGCTAAATAATACACATCCAACCATAAACAAGCCCTAAATCAAACACCCATTAGGTTCCCACACTAAGGTTGGGTCACAACCCTATCTTGAAATTTAGCTACTCATAGTGGGTAATGAAGAAAATAAAGAAGAAATGATGATAAAACTCATATTGAAAGATAAATAGATGAAAATCCAATGTAAAATCAACAAGATAAGCTAAAGTTGCCTAAACGAGTAAAGAAAAACGGCTACAAACTTTCTGGTATTCAAAAACTTGACCTAATTTCGTGAAAGTAGTCTATTTATACACAGCTGAAATTTTCGGATAAAATTGCCCTTTTAGAGGTTCGGCGGCCGCACAATTCTGTGTGCGGTCCACACTTTGCTTCAGCTCTTGATAAGAGTTGGATCTGCGGCCGCGTATCTTGAGTTTTGCGGACCGCATAATTCTGGGTGCGGCAACACTTTTGATTTTTGCGGCCGCACAATTATAGTACGGTCCGCAGTTCTTGCTGGGCTTGGAGTTGGAACTCTCTGAACCTAGACTTATGCGGCCGCACAATTATTGTGCGGTCCGCACCTTACATTGCAGCTCTGTTAATTCTTCTTCATGTTCTACGGTCCGCACTTTAGCTTTTTGTGCTTGATTTTTGTCCTTGTTCAAAATCACTCCTCTTGAATTTGATTTCATCGTAATGGCTCATTTTTCAATACTCCTGCAAGTAAGCATATTTTATTAGTTTTCGGGAATACCTATAAACATTTTTTAACTAAAACAAAAGTCAAAAGGCGCAAATAAGTAGTCAAAATCTCCACGTATCACGTGCGCTTTCACAAAAGCAACTGCAAGCATGGCAAATGAGTCAATATAATTGGGGGTAAGTTGTGATACCATATCATAGCTCCTTCTGACAAGGTCACCCCGAACGTTTTCAGCAAGAGAGATTCGATCTCATCATCTTCGAGGTTGTTCCCCTTGATGGCACACGTGTATGCGGTCACATGTTCATTTGGGTTAGTTTTCCCGTTGTACTTAGGAATTTCAGGCATGCGGAACTTCTTAGGGATTGGCTTCGGAGCTGCGCTCGGAGGGAAAGGTTTTTGAACGAACTTCTTGGAATCTAGGCCCTTTAATATCAGCGGTGCTCCTGGGATCTGATTGACCCTAGAATTATAGGTTTTCACCTTTTTGTCATTGGCTTCGATTTTCTTTTCTCCTGTTTCCACACGCTTTTTCAATTCCTCGATCATCTTTATTATCTCGGAGTTGGTCCCGGGTTCAGCTTCATTTGGCCTATCTGTGGGAAGTTCATTTCTGCGAGGGTTCTCCCGGGATGATCCGGGCTTGACTCCACTGGGAGCGCGGTTTTGGTTTTGCAGCTGGGCTATCGCTGTATGCTGAGCTTGCAGCATTTCGAAGATCACCCATAAGTTGATCCCATCTCCCTCACTGTCAAGAGCATTTTGGGCTACCAACCAGACTCCCTCGCGGACGCTGTTCTCAGGATCGGTGGGCGAATTCGTCTTGATGACCACATATGAGCTAGCGTCGATCGGGTCCGCGACCGGAATTCCGTTGGGATGGGCGAGGGGCACCCCGTTACCGGGCGCTATATTGGTGTTCTCGCCATGGTGGCCAGACTCAACATCTGTGTTTAGAGGGGCCGATTGGGAGTTCGACATTCTCAACACATACCTGAAATCAAAGACACTTCAAAGAACAAGTGTGAAGTAGGGTGTGTTATGAAAATTTGTATCAAATTGCCACTATTATCCTTAGCCCCACGGTGGGCGCCAAACTATTTACCCTCAAAATCGGATAATAATTAAATTTGTAAGTGATTTTAAGGATACGCGGATTTATTTGATACAAAGCGATAGATTATGTCAAATTGAACAAACAAAGATAAAATGGATTCAAACCACACGAGGAGGATAGTTCCAGCCTTATTGAAATATTTACCCTCGATCCGGGCTCGCTATGACCAGCACTAATGAACAAGAGAAAGAGCTAATAACAGAGAAAATAATTATATATTGATTTGGAATGCATGTTACAATGTGCTTAATAAATTATCAGACTCACCTTTATATAGTAGGGAAATTCTACTCTAAGTATAACTATATAAAAGGTAAAAAAAATCTTTTGTTTACTTGGTTGCCGGTTCTACATCGATACGTGTCGAGATCCACACCGTGATATCCGGCCGGTCACGGATATTACGGCCTCCTGTTGGACGCGCTTGATTACCCGACGACGCCCTCCATAGTCCTTCAAGTTTTAGGTCGGTCTCGAATCATGACCCCGATATTATCGAGGGTAGATGGTCGGCCCCCGTACTTTGGCTCGAGGATATCCTTGCTTCGATTCCGATCTTTCGCAATCATATCTCGAGCTCGTTTTACCCTGTTGGAGGCCGGAGTGTATCATGAGCCCAGTTTTTACCCGTACACAACTAATCAGGAAAAAGTTCACAAAAACGAACGAGTTACATTTAAATTTAAACATTGGACTCTTTTGGAAAGGCAGATGTAACTAAGTTTGGACATTTTAGTGCGACTAATTTACACTTATCTTCCAACGGCCCCTCTTCTATTAAGTGGAACGTAGGGACTAATTCAAGATGCTCATTTTTGTTAATTTTAGAGAATTATAATCTTTTTAAACCAAAAAGTAAGTTTAGTACGAAACCTGTAATGCATATAATAAAAGTTACAAACTCCTAAATTCAAATCTTTAATTTGGAGCAAACTCCTGTTATCTTTCTCTTGCTAGTTTTGTCTATCTGACGTTGATAAAAATGCCACTGAAGTTAAAATAAAATTACGAGCTTAAAACACATAATCTGTATGCCAACCTTAGGCTAAACACTATATATTCCAGTTACTGTGTAGTTTCTTAAAGATTTATGGACCTCAACCCCAACCACGCAAGATTTATGTTGGAATGGAAGAACCTTTCTAGTAACATCAGATTCATGATATATACTAACATTAACAGCTCAATTGTTGAAGTTTCTTGAAACTCCTAAAATCTCTCACTCATAGCATCCACGCAACAAAACAAAGGAATGGGCAAATACCATATAAACAAAAAAATTGTTCGCTTAAAGGTATAATGTAGTATTAGTCAAACCAAATGTCTCAAGAAGATTTGTCTGAATTCCACTTCAAAATCAAAAAGACTTTAAAAAAAAAAGGATTTCCTATGCATATTTAATAATAAGACTCATAAAGGTCTTCTCACTTGCACATTCTTCAGTTCCTCAACCCATGTAATCACTCATGAGCAATATGAACACTTTCAGGTGCTAAAGTATGTAGGATTATGATGGTACCCCCCCCCCCCCCC